GTGCATGCTCTGTTCAGCTGCTGCCCCAAACTCCCCTCTCTTCTCTGCACCCACAGGCGTCCCTCTCTATCCATGGGATGTGTGGGGGGCCCATGCTGGGATTATTTACGCTGGGAATCGTGTTTCCTTGTGCTAACTGGAAGGTAAGGTTGAAGAAAAAATCCTGATCTAAAAGAAAATCTCTTGGTGTTGTTTGGTTAAAACTGCATCTTGAAAATCGTTTGGGTTTTTAATTTGGGCTGCTCTTCAGATTTAGAGCCTGCAGATCTAAGATCTGTTTAGACCTGCCTTTTCCCTGTCTGAATTTATCTTTTTCAATTTAAGTCTACCCAGCTGTGGAACAACTGATGATTAGATCCACATGAGGGTTTTTTTTAAAAAATTATTTCGGGTTTTAAGTTTCACTAAGAAGAAAAAAATATTCGGTACTCACCCCAGCCTTGGGAGACACAGAATTGGGCCAGTTGCTCTGCTGTTGCTATCTCACTCAAAACACAACATGAACTCATTCCACACTGCCCCATCAGCACTCCCATCACTGTCATCAGAGGTGAAACTAAAATCTGCTTCACAGCTTTGATCACAGTTTTGCTTCAACTTTTCTAACTAGAGGGCACTAAACCACCGCATTTTGTTCCTTGGTGGAGAGAGAACAGAATTTATCTACACTGGCACAGGCTGCCACCCACCATCACCTACTCCTGCCCAATTCACATCCACAGAAAAGCACTTTTGGCAAACGACCTTTAACAGTATCTTTCTGCAACTTGCCAAGGGCGCTCTTGGAGGCCTCGTAGCTGGGATCACCTTGGCTTTTTGGGCTGGTACCGGCTCTTTCATTTACCCTGCGCCACCAGCAAAGTCCATCCCCCTGCATCTCTCGACCCTCAACTGCACGCTGGCGAACGGCACTGAGACGCTGACGGCAGCAGCTCCCACGGCAGCTCCAGAGAGGTATTGCTACCCCCTAAACCTGCATTTTGGCACAGGGAACAGCCCCAGCAGGGAGCAGGCTGGGAGCGCAGACCAGCTGCAGTATGAGCTGCATTTTGCTGGCACCCTCAGGAGACATCTTAAATGCACTTGTTTGCCCATCACGAGCTGCTTTTGTCACCTCTTCGCAGGCCTGTGCTGGCAGACAGCTGGTACTCCCTGTCCTACCTGTACTTCAGTGCCATTGGCTGCCTGGGATGTGCCATCATAGGGTTGCTGATAAGTTATATAACAGGTGGGTGTTCTATATAAACATATATATATAAAAAACAAACACGCTTCTGGCACAAGAATCTGACTCAGCTGTCAAAAAAGCTTTTAAAAAATCCAGCTTGTGAGATCCTGCTCCCCCACCTCACAGTCTGAGGCTCCCAAGGCTCGTACCTAGCCATAAACTGAGGGATCATGATTTTCTTTTTTTTCCTCAGGACCTACCAAAGGAGAAGACATCCCACCAGTGTTAATCAAGCCAGTCTGCAACCTGTTTTTCTTTTGGTCCAAAAGACTCCAAACTTGGCTCTGGTGTGGCGTGCGGCACGACAGCCTGGAGGTGAGTGCCTGAACCCACCAGCTCAGCCCTGCTGTGGCCCAGGAGCAGCAGGAACACGTGCAGGTACCTGCAGGAGGGCACGTTCTGAGCAGAGAACCAAACAGCTCTCAGCAATCACTTCTGAACTGAGGCCAAGAGCGCTGCTTAGGCACTGCAGACTGGAGATGAGCTCAGCCAAAGCCTGCTCAGTGATAAGTCACTTATTTTTCCTGTTTGCACCACGTATGGGGGCTCGGGTTCTCCAGAGGCAAACAGCCCATGACATGGGGTCTGACCTCGCTCTCCCTGCTCCAGCAGCCGAGCGGGGACAAAGCCGCCCTTTAAACCACGGAGAGGAGGTCACCAAGCAATCATCACCTCCTCCTCCCACCCAGCACAGGGGGGAAGACTGAAGCCCTTCTAGGGCTTCTTGCTGCTGCCAGCCCCACTTTCAGAGCCTCTGGGGCTTCTCCTCTCCAGAGCAGCACCACAGAGTAACAACCAGGCAGGGCTGCAGCCACCAGCACCTGGGCTGCTCCTTCCCACCTTCACCTCCTCCTTCTCCACAGCAACAGGACTGGTTGTTTTTCAGGTGTCTCGAGTCTTTGGAGCTCATTAAAAAGAACACCTTGTCTTCTTGCACTGTTGTGACAATTTTCCTTTAATCAAAGAGAAAAAAACAGTGAATACAGGCTTCAAAGTACAGGGATATTTTCTTTCTTTTCTTTTTTTTTTTTTTTTTCCAGATTGACTTGGAGAAAAAACTGCCTAAAGTTACTGCAAATAAAACCTTCAAGAATGGTACCAACAAAGAAACCAATTGCCAGATCTCTGGTTACAACCCCGAGGAAAAATCCTATACAAATATGAGCAGAGAATCTCGCCTCTAGAAGCCGAGGCACATGGGACATTTAACCCAACTTAATTCTCCAGCTTCAGAAATTAAGAACTTTTTTTTATTGCATTTACCAGCTTGCAGGGGACCAAGATGGAACAATTGCTCTCTGTAGCAATAAAGGCCAGATTTTTATTTATTAAATTCTTGGCAGACCTGGGAAATGATCGGACAATGGGATTTTGGAAGCATTGCTGTTTCAGAAGAAATGTTTAATAAACCTGGTTGTGGAAGCTCCCTCCTGGAAGTAGCTGCACTACATCTCTATCACATGCTCTGTTCAGTAACTTGCCATCGAAGGGAAATGTGCAAAGGTGAATTTGAGATAAAATAAGACTTTGGGGGAGTTCCTGAAGTGTCTCATTAAAGGTGAGACTGTGAGACAGTTGCCCTCTGATGGAGGGAGAGGAGGGAGGTCAGGTTAATCTTAATCCTATTCCCAGGTATTGCAAAAAGCCTCCTCACACATCATTTATATCTCACGGTCACACACATCATCGACTAGGTTGTACTGAGAAAGCCTAACTATCATACATAGGGGCATAAAGTGATTCCTGAGTGGAAGTGTTTCAAAACACCACTATGAAGAGCTATACAGTCAGATGGAGGAGGACAAAACCCTCTCTGCTGGTAGCTGGAAGATATCTGATTCAGAGACCTGTAACTGTGAAGACAACCAAGTCTGCTCTGAATATTTAAGGCACTTGCTCAATGCAGCATTATCATTTTCTGTGTGCATTTCACAAGTTCAGCAACACTGGATTCACTGCAGACTCAGTGTACTTTCAAGGCGTTTGCCACAAAAGAGAACCTTAATTCTTCCATCTAATATCAAAAAAAGTGAGCTAATTGGACAGAATTGCATTCACTCCAAATGCTGTTGAAGAAACATCACGAAGAATTTTTCTTCAGCTTCATATTTACAGACTAGTTTTACTTCAGCTAAAGCTGCTCATCAAGCCCAAGCATTTTCTGTATTTGTAAGGGAGCCAGGCACAGGGTTTTACTAAGTCCAACACATGCACTTACAAATGAAGGCTAAAATCATTAATCAGTATTTCATTATTCAGTCTTCTAGCAGGATTTAAGAATAAGTCCTATCAAGACTGGAATTCAGAGAAATTACCATTCTGATCAAATATTCACGTCAGTATTGCTTACAGTTACCTTCTCATTTCCTTTACATCCCGAGCCACTGATCCTTCCAGAGAAGAGCTAACCTGTTGAAAAACTGACAACTAGGAACAGGTAAATCCTAAAGGAGCTTAAGATTAAGAACTTGTTAGTCACTGGTGAAAGCAGGAGATCATAGATGTCTAAAAATTTTAAAACTGCATCAATCTGTGCCTTGAGATCGAAGTAACTGAGGATTTAATTGAGGCTCATGAGCACTCACTTTTTAAGTATATAATTTTTAAGATTAACTTTGAATATTTGGAATAATAAAGATCGAAGCCTCTTTCAAAGATATCCAAGTTTATTACTGAAAAAAAAAATGCAATATTCAAATGTGTATGATACAGCAAGTAGTTGCATTTGTACATGTAAACCTTGATAAAGTAAACAGCATCTCAAAGACAAACTTATGCCAAAAGTGTCTTACAATAGTTAACCAGATCTACAACTTTTTCCTCAGTGAATTCTTTTAGTTCTGGGGTACACACTGGCTTGTAAAACTAATCTTAAAAAGAAACCAAAAGCTGACACGCCAGAGGAACTTCTTGGTTTTGCACAGAAAAGTGAATTTCTCTGGTACTGTAAACTTACTTCAAATATTACTTACAAAGTGTGGATTTACGAATAGAAAAAATAGCTGAAATTTTATTCTTACTCTTTACTTAGAAATGAAATTGTATTTAAATATTACATAAATTTCAAATATATACATGTTTTAAGAAATCTTGTACGATCATGATATTGCAAGTTAGCCAGGACTACCAGAGTAAAAAATGACTGAACTATCTTATTCAGTTAGATTTTACATGAGATTATTTCAAAGAACTGAAATTTCACTGATACTACTCTAGGTAAAAAAATCAGAGCCAACAGTTTGGAAGATTTTTCAATACAAAACTCTGAGTCATTTGAACAGGACACAAAATAAAAACGTGATCTGAATTTTTTTCCATTGTTAACAGAAAAAATGGTCCTGTTCTCAGCAGTTAGAATCTCATTCCCTTTAGACTCTGTCGGGTTTAATCCTGATTTCTCACCCAGTAGCATTCTAAGCAGCTCAACTCAATTAGAATGCAAACTACAGAGAACATCTCACATTGCAGAGGTTATACCAAGAAGTCAGAATGAGCCAACAGGACTAACAACACAAGGTAACTTCCAGTAGAGTAAGGAGGGAACACACCATTAGCATTTCAAGACCAAACCCAAGTCCTGGATTAAAAAAGTTCCTGCATAACACGGAATAGCAAAGTGGTTTCTCTACAGTCCCTTGTTGTGCCATTAGAAGTTTGTGCTGTTGTGGTGACGTTGTGCTATCGTGGCTCTGCCAAAATCACGTCAATCCAAATTCCTGGCAAACGCGACTGCAGTGACAATACTGTATGAAAGCTCAGTGTTGATGGTTTTTGTCTAAGTTTGAAAACTATGGAATTGGGGAGGGTATTTAGGATGTGCACGTGCCTGTGTGTAGGAAGGGACACGGGGAGAACAAAAGGTGGTGCTTGGGGAAGGGACTGAAAGGACAGTTTGAGGAACGGCACAGGTGGAGGCACCTCGTGCTGCCCGACACCACCTCGCCCAGTGCATGCAGATTCGTGAAAAGCACCAGACAAACTACTATTTGTGCACTTCCTGCCTTGGCTTCTCAGTGAGGGACATCCAAAACCAGCCTGTAAATAAATCTGCAGTTGCAGAATTGCCCTGGGAATTGGACTGTCAGACAGAAGGCAGCGCGTAATAAAACACTGAGGGTAAGTAGAGAATGAGCCAGAGGAGAAAAAGGGGAAGATCAGGGGGGCTGATTCAACACTCCATTCTCAAATCCTCGTTTTTCAGAGCCTGTTGCAACTGTGGAGCAAAACCTGCCAAAGTGAGGAAGATCCCTTTGCTTCCCCTGCCTATCCCAGACTGCCTCCACATGCTGGTTGTTGCATTTTACCCCAGAGGAACACGGGCTTTGCGAGCATAAGGTTGAGTATGAAAACAGTTCAGAAACTTTTTTAAGCTGCTAAATTTTCCACTGCAGGAATTTTAAGTTTGCAATTCACTTAAACGCTTTCAAAAAGTGTCGCTGCACGCATTTCAATCAGACAAAGTATGTTTTGCAACAAAAATAAAAGGTCTGCCTAGATGTGGAATTCTGTTTGAATTCCAGTGTCAGCCTTAACATCAAATAAACACTTTATATTTGTTTCAACCTTTGCCCCAAAATAAGCAACATCAGCACTTCATGAGGACTACAAAAAGTTAAACGATTCTGGAAGTACTACTGCACTGTGATTGCTGATACCACTGGTTTTATCTCTGTCCCTTTTCTTAATTGAAACTTAACAGAATATGTAATTTTTTTTTTCTAAATTTTATTTTCCAATAACTTTATTGCATTCATATGTAGCTGTTTCTGTGAAGTGAGTTTTATTGATATGGCCATTGCCCATTCAATTTATGGGCATGGATGGTTTTCAGTTAACCAAAATAAGATGATGCTTCCAAATATCCATGTGCTAATTTGTCTCTGAATGAACTGTGATATAATGCAAAAGATTACTAAGTCCCACAGTCCCATGCAGGGCTTTGCAGGCAACTCCACTGGATCCCACGGCTCCAAAAATTCTCTCTGGCAACACTCCCACTCGGAGTCTGCAGTGGAAGAAGATGCAGCAAGGAAACAGCAGATGTGCACTGTGCACATTATTAGACTGACCATCTTAATGGCACATTAAGAATAAAACATCACAAAAATTCTTGCCTTCCCCCACATTAACAATCACCCTAGAACTGTGTTTCCCGAGATGTTTTTCCTTTTGCAGAGCTTTCTATGAAGGAAACCTCTGGAAATTTATAAATTTTTGCATTAGGGTATTTACCTATGAACCTATTTTCACTAGGACACAATTGAGCCTAACTGTTTCTTAGAACCCTTTTTACAGCAAGCTGGGAAAGGGCACAGCTACAGCTGATGTGTATTTTGTAGCAACAATCACATGGACTTCCAAAGAACCATCTAACAAAAACCCACTTCACCTCCGTCACCACTATCTAAACTTCAGCCTTGTCATCATCAATATAAACTTCAATGTTCATCTAAACTTTCTCTATAAATCCTTTAGCAAAAAGGGGTAGGAAAGAAAGATAACAGAAATAGCCACTGAATCACAGGATCATTAAGGTTGGAAAAGACCTCCAAGATCATCAAGTCTACTCTTTGACCGAACATCACCGCAACAACTGAGCCAGTTGTTTCTTGAACAATTCCAGGGATGGGGACTCAACCCACCTCCCTGGGCAGCCCATTCCACTGCTTTCAGTGCAAAAATTCTTCCTGCTGTCCAACCTGAACCTCCCCAGGCGCTGCTTGAGGCTCTGTCATCTCTTCTGTCACCAGTTAACCGGGAGGAGAGGCCAAACCCCCTTTTCCTACAACCTCCTTTCAGGGAACTGTACAGAGTGATAAGGTCTATCCCGAGCCTTCTCCACACTGAATAACTCCAGCTCCCTCAGCTGCTCCTCATATGACTTAATCTCTAGACCCTTCACCAGCTTCACTGCCCTTCTCTGGACCTTCTCCAGCACCTCAATGTCCTTCCTGAACTGAGGGACACGGGACCCGAGGTGTGGCCTGGCCAGTGCTGAGCACAGGGTAAGAATCATTTCCCTGCTCCTGCTGGCCACGCTATCCCTGATACAAGCCAGGATTCCACTGGTCTTCCTGGGCACACTGCTGGCTCATGCTCAGCTGCTGCTGACCAGCACCTCCAGGTCCTTTTCCACTGGGCAGTTTTGCAGCCACTCTGCCCCCAGGCAACCCTGTTAGCACTCAGCTGCGAATGCTGAGCTCTCACTGCCTCCCTCTACACGGAGCCAGACTGCCAGCTGTTATTTAGGATGGCTAACGAAACGGGATTCTTATTTTCCTTTTTTTTTTTTTTTTATTCACCAAAAATTCAGATCTCACATATTAGGCACAAATTTAGAATAAAAAGTCATAAGAAATGAGATGTGCATGGCGTATCTGGACTTTCTGCCATTTCTGAAATGGAAATTTCTTCTGTCTGAATGAAGACGCAGAATTTGGTTAGGAATAGTTAAGACATTTTTGAACTAACCCTTTATACATAAAAATATCTAGCTGCTCATGCAGTCTCTCCAAGGGCGCATGCATAGAGCAAAGTTGTCATAGGTTAGATCTGCAACGACCTAAAGCGTTTTTGCACAAATTGAGGTTCTAAAGCTTTGTCAGAGTTCACAAACGCAGCCTACATGCAATCTACTCATACCAGTTTCATTTGCTTGAAAAGACAATATTTAGAATATGAAAAGATCATTCACCATTCAAAAAAATACATTATTCCTGAGGACGGTGTGTGCCTTGTACTTTAGGAAAATAACGTGCAGTCAATGACAACAGTATACCAAATGAAGGCTAGCAAAAAGGTTCCCCAGCTTAAGCAAATGGCTAGATAGTGGCAAGACCTTCCCACATTGCTGACATCCTCCAAAAGTAAAGGACACACAGAGTGTTTCTCCAAGCTTCTTGTGCTTTTCCAGTGCACAAAATGCACCGTGTCAGATCTACATACTCGCCTTTAGTATACTCCTGTATACCAGTGCTGAAAATAATTAACAGTATATATATTTAAATCTCAAATACAAAAAGATTTTTCTTTTTTTTTTTTTTTTATGTGTTTTTTTAAAGTCCAATTGGAATTTGCTGAAGTATGTACTGACATGTGCCGATATCCACAGCAGAAACAGGAAAGTACAAAATAATCAATATTTCTGATTTTTGCCCGATTTTACCCTACATCTTTACACCTTGGGCCAGCCAAGGCTTTTTATTTTTTTTTTAAGAGAAAACATTAAAAAGAGCTCATCTGTGACCTTCTGAAGAACTGAAGTACGATCACTATGTGGCACAGAAACAAAAACTCTGACACAGGGTTAACGCTGCCCAACTGTGCTTGATAATCCCCGGAATGAAACAGAGAGACAATCCATTAAATCAAATGCTGTGATTTAAGCACCGAGGAGAGTGCACTCATTTTTTTTTTTTTTTTCTGATAATGACTCCTGAGGAA